TGTAGATTATTTATTGCTAATTATTTAAAGGATGTTGCAGATTGTTTAATATTTGTCTGCCGAGCAGCAGCGCCCCCGGAAGAAAAAAGGGTCCTCCTTTTCAGAAAGCCAAGTATTAGCAAGTATTAGCATTATTTTCAGAAACAGTTGCTACATGTCTCAGCTCACTGACAGCTTCTCGTAGGTAGCCATGTTTGTTATGACTGTGGCCGGCTGCTGCTAACCAACCAATGGGCAGAAGGTGACCCTCTAAGACACGCCCCTCCTCATTTGCATAATGAGGCAGAAATGCAGACAGAAATGTAAAAACGATGCAGAAATAAAACGCATGGAAGAAATAAAGAGGGTAAAAAATACCAAGGAAGAATAAACCAGACAAAAATATTATAAGATGCAAATAAATGAATACTTAAAGAAATAAGTAATAAATAAAGTTGAAGAATATAACGGACAATAGATAATGTAATTATTACACAGCCAAAGACACACAGACGATAATTAAAAGAGATATAAATATTTATGTCTCAATGTTAATTTCATTTCTACCTACATTTATGTGTTTATTGTATTTTGGGGGCAAAGAATTGTATGCTTATTTATTTTTGGAGCATTTATTTATTTCTATAATTATTTTTCATTATGGCAGGATTGGTCCTCCATACAGTTTATGGCATTTAGCTGGATTTAGATGACCTGAATGGAAATGCTGTGGTGTACTGGTTATACTGGGTAAACTGTGGTCTGACCTGTGCTGTCCTCATTTCTCCAGGTGAGCTGCTGAGCCAGCCACGGCCCCAGGATCTGACTGAGATCATCTGTCCAAAGAACGGCTCAGAGCGGGTCGACGTGGCTCTGGTTTACCCCCCCACTCCCACAGCTACAAGCCCCAAGTGACTCCGCCCCCTCCCCCCCCGGCCTGACGCCTCCCACTCTACCTGCTTCTTGTCTCACTGCACCACTGGAGACCCCCCCAACTCTTCTGCCATCCACCTTCTGCCCCTCCTCCACCTGTTGCTTGAACTGGGAGCTCATCCAGGTAATTCTATTCAGT